GAGGTTGATTTTGCCTCAACTTTGGGCATTTCTGACCAATATGAACTGGGCCCAGGTTAGATTAGTGTGATAATATTATCTTGGCATGAAGGACCTCATCTACTTTATCACAATATCATGACTACCTACAATTCTGCTTTTTAGACCAAACATTCCCTATGACTCCTTTCTCAGAAATAAGAGCAGTCTAGCAAAGAAAACACACAGTCTCAACCAAGTTTCAGAGACTGGCTGTCCTTCATGAAAATAAAGCCAGATACCTTCTCCATATTTAGATAAGCCCAAAGTGCCATGTCTAGATGTCACATTGGGTTTTGTTTATGATATGACACCACTTCTTCTCATTACTAAGACATGTTGTTGACATTGATGGTCAATGACATTGATACAGCAATACTTTCAGCACATTGGGGTTGTTGCTGCTGGTAGCAGAAGAATGTACAGATTAAGATTAGTTAATTCAGATAAACTAATTCATTTGGGATACCTAGTTATCTATTGCTCAGGATTTTCTGACCATAATGTGTGTGTATATTACCCAAGCATTTTCCATAGAAGCTGGCCCAAATCTAATGATCCTATTTTAATAATAGATGTTTCCATGTTGAAGGAAAAATGTTTGTGAGTATAGGGAATTATTTGCTATATATTCATAATTCACCAAACCTTTCTGTTTTGATTAATTTGAAAACCAATCAGAAATCTTCCTTTTATAAAGGTAATGTAATTGTTTGCATTCTCTCCTCTTCCAAAATGTTCAGCTGGGAAGAAAACTGGGTAAGCTTCCTAGCTGAACACCATAAAACAATATCATTTGGAAAAATCCAGTTTACTTCTTCCCAGTTATAAGGAAGTTATCAACACATTATTTGGTACAAACTCCTTATCTTGAACCTCTTTTCTCTTTCAAAGTACAAGGCAAATTGTCCTATTTTAATACTCACATTAATCCTTGGATTAAACTGAAATATACATATTCACCCAGGTTCACTGTGGCATTGCTTCCAAGCAAAAACCCTTGCCTATGCAAGCTATTTTATTCAGGCAACTGGAAGCAGAATTTTTTAAAAAAGATTTATAGACAATACCAAACATGAAAACTTTTCTAAAATGTTTGTTAGTTTGAAGTATTATAACATAAACTGTTTCCAGTGTTAATTAAAGGCTTACTTTCACAGGTTCTTCCTTTTCCTGTTAAAGCAGGACAACTGATTCTTGAGTAACCTTTCTTCCTTTTTTTTTCTTGTTGGCTTTTTTAAGGGATTATAATTACTATTGTTCCATCATTATTTTGTCCTCTTATATAATGGGACAGCTTTATTTTTCAGTATTTTTTTTCTTCAAAAAAGGAAAGTTGGAATGAGTATTCTTCCTTCCAGCTTCCCTCCCTCTCCTTTGCACAAACAGAAAATGACATCCAGGGACAGTTATGAGACTACATTCAAGAGAGAATTAATAGCTTCTTCAAGGAGCGATTCTTCTTCCATGCTAACTGGAAGCAATGAAAATCACATCCTGATGGCAGAAATTTTTATTAAAGACACAGATCAGGGAAGTCCCCTAAAAAGCCCTCCTTCAGTACCATTTTTCTCTCTAGCCTGTTGGACAAGCTAGTTTTATAGTTGCATTGAATGTTTTTCAGGGTTTAGAAGACAATTATAAATAGAGCATCTCCAAAATGTATCCTTAGGGCAGTTTAATTCAGATTAATTAATTAGACAATTGGTCTATAGTGCGCATTATGTGTAATTTCCCAAGCTTCTTGGCTACTAGAAGAAATATGGGAAGCTGTATATTTGCAGGACCACTTTCTTCAAGTAGTATCTATGATCCCAGTAAGATCTTCTTATGTGGACTTACTCCATATGCTTTTCCTTAAGTGTTGCAATATTCAGAGAGCATGAAAGAGAGTTTTCTCAACTATTGCCTCCTTTTTATGGTACATTCCCCTGGGAATTTTTTAGACTTTTTAAAAATCCTGCCTTTAACCTAAATAATGTAAAATGGCCAATATGCCTAGTACTCCTTTTTCCTCCCAACAACAAACCTGTGAGATGAATTGGGCTGAGATAGAGTTGACCGGCCCAGTTAGCTTTCATGGAAAGACAGGACTAGAACTCACAGTATGCTGGTTTTTAGCCTGGTGCCTTAACCTTCAGACCAAGCTAGCTGTCAGATTATCTCAAGAGACCCTTCCTAGTACTGCATTGAGAAAGTTTTTTAAAACATACATATTTTGTAAATGTTGTGGGTCTTAACAGAAGTTGTTTTAGCTTAGTGACTATTGAATGGATCAACTTCCAATATTACAGTATATATTCCTATGTATTGTTATTTTTAGGATTTCCAGTTCTTCTATCTCACTCAAATATGTATTGTTTTTACCAGATTGATAAAGAATATAGAATACATGGCTTAGAATTAGCTGTGATTGGAACAATTTACAGTATGAACCCAGTGAAACACATATTAAGCCAGACCATTTAAATATACAGTATGTATGTATGTATGTATGTATGTATGTATGTGTGTGTATATATATATATATATATA